CACACACACACACACACACACTTTATACTGATGCTTCATGCACCTGTTTCAGGCTATGAGATACATGGGATGGAGAAGATCCCTGACAAAGGACCAGCTCTGATCGTGTACTATCATGGAGCCATCCCAGTGGACTACTACTACTTCCTGGCCAACGTTATCATCCAGAAGGGACGGACCTGCCACTCTGTGGCTGACCACTTCCTCTTCAAGATCCCAGGTACTGACTCTGATACATGGCACGCACACATTAATGTGCACACAAAGATTTTACACAAGTAATGCTTCTGTTTGATGCATAACATTTCCAGTATGAAGCGTGTTCTGATCTTAGTCGTGATGGCAGAGGAAGAACGTCACTCTGATCAGAATAAAGCAGAAACATGGACGGTGTGACAAAATACCTGAATTTGGGCTTCCACAGCAGGAGTTTGTGTCCAGATTGATCCCAGTGTTAACATCAATTCTGTTCTTTCAGTTTCTCTATTCAGCAAAAGCCTCCTTGGTGGTTTGGGAGAGAGCTATGTGGTATTAGCCAAAGCATTCAGTTTCCTGTTTCCATGAGTAGCATGGCTGTCTCAGAATCCCTGTTGCTTGTGCGGTGAAGAAATATCAGTGCAGTTACTACCATGACTTAAGTTTATGTGTGTCCCTTTACCAAACTCATAGCCAAGTTGAGTGAACGGTTTTGCGTGAGTCACATCTGCATCCACATGGTGTTCATTTGGTAATGGTTCCGGTCGGGAGTTGTTGGACCTCTGGAATGAAATGATGCATGGTGATTGTTGATTTGTCTTCGTCTGGGAAGCCTCACGTCGTCTCGACAAAAAGACTAGCCGGATATTTTTGACCAGCTCTTGTCTACTTTCACAACTTCTATGGCATGCTCAAGGACATGACAACAACTGAACCTCACCTGTGGGTGTTGGGTCACTGGCTGGACTGGTACTGTGTGTTCTGCTCACCATTTCTCTACTGACAGTGAAGGGAATAATGTATGCCTTCAGTAACTTGCGACTATGAATAGTTCCTGCCCCATGGTCATTCAGAAAACCCAGATTTTCATATAGAGCGGTTTCTTGTTGGTGCTGTCAGGTAGAAGTGGGCAACTCATGAACAGATAAGTTCTGATCGGGCTGGATCTGTATTGTCTGCAGTGTCTCTCAACCAATGCTATAGTCTGACCCTGCTTTCATAAATCCTCTACATAAAGACGTCTGATGTGCTGTTAAGCTGAACAAATATTGAAATCCATGAAACATTTTGATTCACAGCGTTTGTTTCCTGTCATTGGACCAAAAGCCATACTAACCCGAACCCACCACAGAAATCAAACAGTTCTGATAATGTGTAAGCAGGGATTTCTGACAGATTCTCTTCAGCAGCACTATTCAGGCCTTTGGGTTTGGAACACTTAAGATCAGCCTGGTCTTCAGTTCTTTCCACAAATTGTCAGTAGCGGTCCGATCTGGACGCAGGCGCGACTCCAAAATGATGACACGGTTTTGTGTTAACTACTTTTGGACCATACGATTTCTTTTTTTACTGGACAATGAGTATTTTTAGGTCAGAACTGTTTCTACCTTGGACTTGTTTCGACTGTCACTTCAGTCTTCAGAAACGTCATTGACGTCTGTGGTGATGTCTTCATCAGCTGCTGGTTTCCTGGAGGCGTGACCCGCCTGGCCATCTGTCAGATTGACCCGATGGGCCACGCCTCCTGCCACCCGGTGGTCTCTGCAGGAGAGCGTCCCGTGTGTGGGGCAGCATGATGCCTCCTCATCATGGCTCATGGTGTCTTTGGCTCGCCTCCTGACCTCTATGGCCTCCTGATCCAGCGTTTAAACTTGTTGCTCTCCGATGTGATGCTCTTGGCGTTGTCCCGGTCCATGATGTGGTTGTTTCCTTTGCCGTGGTCTGATATGGCAGATTTTTGGTTCACCTGTTCTGCTTTTTCTTTCTGTGATCTTGTGAGTCGTCCTGATGTCTCCTTTTCGCGTTCTTGTTGATGTTTGTTCTGTCTTGTGCTGAAGCTTCTCCCTGTCCCTCCTGTGTATGTTTCTCCACGTGTTCGGCGTGGGGTTTCATATATGACGTTGCATTTTTGGTCCGTGGGTGTTTGGTCTTTTGGGCGTACCAAAAGCTGGCAGAATTTTGTGTGTGATTTTACTATTGTGTTGAGTTTGTGTTTTTTCAAATTAAAAGAACCCTTATGCCTAAAACCAGAGTAGGCAACATGGACCTGATCACGCTACTCTTTGACCATGTTGGCGGTGCATTTCAGATCACTGCCTGTTTTGAAAGTCCAATGCTACTCAGTGCCAAGTTTTCTCTGAGTTGTTATCTTCCAACGTCCGAATGAAGACTAAATGCAGTCCTCTCTTATCATGGTGTCATTTACTTTGACAAGGTTCTCTGACTAATTGGCTAAAAAACACTCCAATAGCATTTCCTTTCAGATGCGATGCTTGATTGTGGGAGGAGTTTTTTGGACTTTATAGCTTCTCCTTTCTTCCACCAAATTAAAGCTATGTCCCCTGTGTCCAAACACATCCATTTTCATCTTATCCACCGACAGAACTGTTGACCAGAAGCTGTCTTATTTTTCTATTTGAGTTTTTGCAAAGGTTAGCTTAGTTTTGTTTTGCCTATATTGAGCCCCTTTCAGACACTGTACATGGAACATTGCTGGCTTCATCAGTTCGTTAACGCGGTAGCCTTGTAGTCATTGAGACGTAGGACACTCTTCCCTCAGTGTTTCTCATGGCCTCATGCACAGATACAGCCCACAGCGCCGGAGAGCCGCGCTAAGCCAGCAATGTCTTTGTCTTTCACGCCAGACTAAACGCGCTTGTCTATCAGTTAATGATGGTTTTGTTCAGACGTGGGCTGCGTAACACCAACACGTTAAATTCAGTCGAAATCATGAAACCAGGTGCATGTCTGCAGGGGCGTTGAGTTATTGGTACCAGATTCATCTGGTTGTCCCTCGTGGTGAACCCTGGATTCCTGTTGGCCTTTACGCTGCTGTTCTCACCAGTGCAGGGCTCACTTCTGGCCTCCTACCATGCCCTGTTTGTTGCTTTGCATTTTGGCTACTGGCACTTGAAAACACTTGTGTATGACTTTGTACCCATTTCTTGTCAGCAGCCACAATGTGCAGCGGTTTCTCTGGATCCTAGCAGCAGGCAGGTTGTCTAGTTACTGACTATTACTATCAATTCATAGTGTAGTGGTATGCTGGAGGGCATTGTAGAAACTACTGTGACCATTTGGAATGATGCTTTTGACATGACACTTCTGTCAAACAGGAATGCAGAAATAGCTCTGACTGCCTTTTCTCACTTGTTTTTGTCTTTTTCAGCTAATTGAAACATATTGGTAGAAATAAAATCAGCCATCAGTTATTTGGGAGGGGTTTGAATAATTTGGGGTTTTACCAGCACATAGGCAGCGTAACAGCTGTGATTCCACATATTTGCTTGCATACCACTTGCACTGACAAGTACCCAAATGCTTAGCCGGAACGTCTGCTTCTACACAACGTAAACAGGATCAGTGGTTGCCGCATTATTGATGCTAAGAGCACAGCAGGAAGTGGAACAGTGGCCACATCGTAGATAGCACGTCCAGCCGTCAGTATCATGATAAAGGGAATGTTTTCCGAGTGTGCCACTGCTCATCATGTGCTGAATTGCATTTTGTGGGGTCTAATATTATTTACTGAGGACATGCACAAGCAACGCTCTCTGGAAAGGCACAGCTGGTGAGACAGCCATGATGCTCGTGCATACAGATCTGTTGAGGATAGATCAATAGGTAGGTAAGAAAAACATAATTTTAAAAATACATACACGTGCACATAAAAGCTGCTGTACCAGGTGAGATATGACAGAATTCTCAACATGTAAATTACAGTTAAATATGCAAAGTCACTCATCCTACAGTCACTTCAAGTGTAGGGATGAGATCTTGTCATAGGAACTAACTTTAAAAAAAAAAAAAAAGCAAAACAGTGTTTGTTGTGTTTAAAATTTTATGTGATACATCTTCAAACCTGGGGCTGCAGGTGTCTCAGTGGTTAGCACCGTGGCCTTGCAGCTGGAAGGTCGCCGGTTCGGATCTTTCTGCGTGGAGTCTCCATGTTCTCCCCGTGCAGCGTGGGTTCTCTCGGGTTCTCCAGCTTCCTCCCACACAGTCCAAAAACATGTTGAGGTTAATTGGTGATTCTAAATTGTCCGTAGGTGTGAATGTGAGTGTGCTTGGTTGTCTGTCTCTAAGTGTAGCCCTGTGATAGACTGGTTACCTGTCCAGGTGAACCTGCCTTCACCCTGAGTCAGCTGGGATAGACTCCAGCCCCCCATGACCCTGGTAAGGATTGAGGTGTAGAGATGATGGATGGATGGATCTGCAAACCTATGAAATATGTTTGGAGTGAGGTATTTGTGTAGGGGATGTTTTTCTTAGTGTTTTTTTAATGCCAGCCTCATCATACTTCTGTTCTCCTCCTCTAATGTGTCCATTCTAATCCCCTCCTCTTCCTCTAGGCTTCAAATTGCTGCTGGAGGTGTTCAGTGTGATCCATGGTCCTCAGGAGGAGTGTGTGCGGGCTCTGAGGAACGGCCACCTGTTGGGGATTTCTCCAGGTGGAGTGCGGGAAGCTCTGTTCAGTGATGAGACCTACCCTCTTCTTTGGGGTAAACGCAAAGGCTTTGCTCAGGTCGCCATTGACTCTCAAGTGGTGCGTTGTTTCAGTTTCACTTAATGTCACAATACTTTAGGGTGTTTGTCAGGACGCCTGCAGATACAGTGTAGTTTAGGTTTAACATACCAATAACATGCTGGTTCTCATGGCCAGGGATCCGTTACATGTGGAGATGACTACTTATCTTTACTAGAACTATATCCACCATAGTGGAGCTTTCTGTAGCAGAAATAAACATTGTGTAGTGTGTGACACACAATCACACACTGCTGATAGGTATGTACTGAATGCTTTATGATTAAATCTAACAGAATCCTTTCGTTAGGTCCCTTTTTTGAATTTTAGAGTTCTTTGTAATGAATAAAACGTGTTAGATATGAGATGTTTTCATGTCACTGTTATGATGCTCTGTCACTGTTGACTGTGCACATACAGCAAGTTTAAAACTATTTAAAGATCATTTTAAAATACGTGTGAGCACTGATGTGTTGTACAGTGAAATCAACCTTCTATTCATTTGCTATGGGCCAGTTAATAATGTTTCATCACAAGTTGTGTTGTAAACCAACTAACTGCTGTTCATGTAGAGTTGATAGATGTCAACATGAGGGGGTTGTTCTTTATTGTTGATTCTTGCATATGGAGTTTTGTTGTTTCTTGCTGTATTGCGTTGCTGTTCTGTAGCAGCAGGTCACAGTCATTTCAGATCTTCTGCTGCGCAGCTCATTTCCAGGTTGGAGCTTTAGCTTATAAATTAGGTCTATTTACAGTAATATTCATCTTATTTCTTTTAGTTTTAGTCTTTTGTTTCTGGCTTCCCTCCTAGCATCAGGGGATTACAGATCTGAACTGAACCTTCGATTGGCTTTGACCTATTTACACCAATCAGCCACAACATTACAAGTGTGACGTGAATTGATTATCTTTGTAAAATGATAATCAGTCGTCAGGAGGTGGGATGTATTAGATTGCCAGTGAACAGTCAGCTCTTGATGTGTTGAAAGCATCACATATGCAGGTGAACATCATGGATGGACCATTGGCCTGGTCAGATGAGTCAAGTGTTCTTTTATATGATAGAGATGTGTGCATTGTTTTCCAAGGGGAAGACGGCAGCAGGACTAACGATGATAAGAAGTCAGGTTGGTGCAGGCAGTATTGATCGCTGCTGGGCAAATGTAGGTCCGGCATCGATGTAGATGTGACTTTGACACCTACCATCCACTTAAACACTGTTGGAGACCACGTATGTAGAGCCTCTTTCAGTAGGATACCGAATCCTGCAACACTGCTGAAACTGTTCATGAATAATGTTGACTTGGTCTTTAAATTCCACCAGTGTCAATCCAGTCAAGCATCTGTGGAAGCTGCAGTAAGTCGTAATTGGAGATGGCCTTTAGCCTTGAGTTGAAGGGACAGGTTTTGTATCCAGGCAACTATATACACAACTGCTCATATGATAAGTTCAACTAAATCTGAAGGGTTCAGATTGTGCATCATGATTCTACCTCAGAAGGTCTTCATATGATCTTTTTGTCACATCACCCACCCGTAATCTGTGGGATTAGTGGGAAGTTTTTGAATGATCCACTGCTAATGTTTCGGTTCCTAAAAGGGACACCTTCAGAGGGCTTCTGGAGCCCATGCCTGGATGGGTGGTTAGTTGGCATCCGTCTGTCTAAGAAGACAATGGAGTATCTGCGCCTTGGTCAGTCCAATGTATTTGTGCAGTGCCTGCTGTGGCTGTAGGGGGGTGTAGTTGGTGGTGCTGGCTGGAGCCTCTGCCGGCTGCGGGTCCTTTTTTCTTCCCACTGGCTCTCCCTCCTCCCCTCGGCTTGTAGGATGCCAACCTCAACAGTAGAACACCAGTTGGTGCGGTCTGATGTTGCTGATTCTAGGTCCGCTGGCCTGACGCCGCATCCCTTCAGGTCGTGTTTGCAGACGTCTTTGTATCAGAGGGTGGGCTGCATCCCTGTGGGCCACATCCCTGTGGCAAGCTCACCGTACAAAACAACTTTTGAGATGCGTCCATCGCCAATGGGTCAGAGGTGACACAACACTAGTGTCAGTCTCAGCCGTAGCTCTTGTTTATCTGTAGTTCCGTCTTTATGCTGCGAATGTCGTCCTTACCTTGTCTCCTCTTCCTCATTGTCTGTCTCTCCTTGTTCATGTGCTCTATCTCATGTGTTACTTCTTGTTTTATTCTGAAGTTACTGCTTTTGTTAATACATCCTGCTTCAGTGTATGATGTCCTGCATTCGAGTTCTCTTGCTGGAAGTCATTGTGACGGTGCGGACTGACCAGACATGGACCCAGCAGGTATCGGCTTCCCACTGGACATCTTAATAGTTCCATAGACATTAAGGATCAGCTGAGGGCCATAACCTTCTTACAGACAGCTGTCTGATCAGAACCCTGTCTTTGGCATCTCCCAGCTGTTTTGTGGGACTGATAGTATTCATAGAACTTTGCAGCATATTGTAGACTCCTCTAATAGCCTTTAAGCTGAGCCATGCATGTGTTCCTGCCAGCTCCAGCTCATGTCATGATCTCAGCCTTCTTCCTTATGTTTCGAGTGTATTTGCTGTGTGTTCTCCTACGTTTCCTTTGCCTCCCTGTCCATATCAGTTTTTTTGCTTATCTTTATGTTCTGTGTCTATCCTTTACTTACTTACTGTGTTTTTTCAAAGTTACCTACCTTGTCTATCTTTGGCGTGTTTGCTCCTTGCCTTTTGTGGGATTTTCCCCCCTGCCTAATTAATTTTCCTGTGTCTTGTTTCCAAAGTAGTTTCCTGGTCATTTATGGTGCAGTCTTTCTCCTTGTTAGTTATAACCCCGTCTGTTTCGCTGTGTCCTTTGCTGCTTAACTCAGGTCTCTATGTTGTTCCCTGTGTCTCTACTTTCTTCTTTTGGTTACTACATTCTGATTTGTATTGTTTTGTCTTTTGGATTTACTATTTTCTGACTTTGGATTCTCCTTGCTTGGAATCTTCAGCTGTTTTCCAGCCTTTGTTTATATCGTCCAGTAATTTCTATTGACGGTACTTTGCCTTCATGCCCTGAGGTCTCGTGTCCTGCATGTGGGTCCTCTTCATCGGTCTCACTGTGTCGACTAGGCAGGTGGTTTAATGTCGTGGCTGATTGGTGTGCAATTTTTTTGTTACCTGCAAATAAGGAATGCTAAGCTCAATGAGATTTGAGAAGGCATTCAGTTGAAATTGGATTTGATAAGCAGATTTGGTACTGGATTTATATTCAATAAAATGCTACTGACACCCTAGCCTACTGTTATTGATCTCTGTGTTACACTTTTGCAGTAGACAAACTCATCATTCTAATCTTATTTTCTTTACCCTTGCTCTCTGTCTTACAGCCAGTAATTCCAATGTTTACTCAGAATGTGCGGGAAGGCTTCAGGTCTCTGGGAACACTCAGTAAGTGTGAAAAGAAAGTTAAAAGTCACAAAAATGGCTCCACCAAGCTGATAAGTAATGGCATCATGGAATACACCTTGAAGTTCATGCCACACATAGGCACATAGAACAGATCATTCCACATTTTATTGTAATCAAGTAGTGTACAGATACATCTCATATAATTACAATATGGTCAGAAAAAGTTCAGTATTTTTCATTGGTCATTGGTCGAAGTGAAAATTATATATTTCCCTGACTAATTTTGCATAGACTGAAATATTTTAATACTTTATTTGTTTCAGCTTTGATGATAATGGCTTACAGCTCATGAAACTCCCCAAAATCAATCTCAAAATATTACAATGTTTCACAGAGTGGCACAGAGATGTCAATCAAGGACCACTAGACCACAAAGTCCTGAGAAGAGGTCTAATTAGCTAATTAAATCAAAACACCTGCATAGAGCCTTTAATTTCTCAGTCTGCTTCAGTAAACACACTTACAATCATGAAAACAACTGCCTACTTGACAGTTGTCAGGAAGACAATCATTGACACCGTCCACATGGAGGGTAAGACTCAAAGGTGCATTGCTGAAAGGGCTGGCTGTTCAGCGTGCTGTACTAAAACATGTCATGAAAGTTAACTGGCACGACAAAGTATAGTGGGAAAAAGTACACAAGCAAAAGATTTGAAAGGATGGTCAAGAAAAGCAGATTCCATCCATCCATCCATCCATCCATCCATCCATCCAACCATCCGTTCATTTTCTTCCACTTATCTGGGGTCGGGTCGCGGACGCAGCAGGCGGAGCAGGTCATTCGCCTTGCCACCAAGGAGCTTCTTAGCTACCTTGGCGACCTCTGCCACGGAAATGGACACAGAAACCCCCCAGTCTTTCACGCTCTGCCTCCGCGACAGAGGATGTGCTTGCTGGGTTGAGGAGCTCGTCAAAGTGCTCCTTCCACTGCCCCAGTCCGGGTCAGCAGTTCTCCTCCCTGGCTTTACTCAGCCTGGGCAAATCCCTGCCTCCCCTTTCTGGGGCATCAAAAGGTTTGCCAGAACTTCCTCGAGGCCAACCGAAAGTCTTTCTCCATACCCTCCCCGAACTCCTCCCACACCCGAGTTTTAGCTTCCGCAACTGCCGCAGCTGCAGCCCTTTTGGCCAACCTGTCTGCTGCTTCAGGAGACCCCCGAGCCAGCCAGGCCCAAAAAGTCTCCTCCTTCAGCCTGACGGCTTCCCTCACCCCAACGGGTTTTGGGGTTGCCACCACGACAGGTACCAGTGACCTCCTGGCCACAGCTCCAAACAGGCCGCTTCTGCGATGGAGGCTTTGAACATGGCCCACTCCAACTCCATGTCCCCAACCTCACCCGGGATGCAGGAGAAAGTCTTCTGGAGGTGGGAATTGAAAACCCCACGGACAGGGGCCTCCGCCAGACATTCACCCTCACTATGCGTTTGAGTTTACCAGGTCTGTCTGGCAGCCTTCCCCGCCATCAGAGCCAACTCACCACCAGGTGGTGATCAGCTGACAGCTCTGCTCCTCTCTTCACCCGAGTGTCCAAAACATATGGCTGCAGGTCTGATGATACGACTACAAAGTTGATCATCGACCTTTGGCCTATGGTACTCTGGTACCAGGTACACTTGTGAGTAACCTTATGTTCGAGCATGGTGCTCGCTATGGCCAATCTGTGGCTAGCACAGAAGTCCAAAAACAGAACACCGTTCGGTTTCAGATCAGGCAGGCCGCTCCTCCCAATCACGCCCTTCCAGGTTTCACCGTCATTGCCCACATGACCATTGAAGTCCCCCAGGAGAACTATGGAGTCCCCAGGCGGCACCCCTTCCAGGACACCGCCCAGAGACTCCAAGTAGGCCGGGTCGGCTGAACTGCCGTTTGGTGCATAAGCAGAGACGACAGTCAGAGTTTTCCCCTCGCAACACGCAGTTGCAGAGAGGCGACCCTCTCATTCTCCAACTCCAACAAGGCAGTGCTCAGCTGGGGGCTTGTGAGTATCCCCACACCTGCCCAGCGCCTCTCACTGTAGGCAACTCCGAAAAAGGGGAGAGTCCAACCCCTCTCCAGGAGTTTGGTTCTGAAGCCCTTGCTGTGTGTGGAGGTGAGCCCGACTATATCTAGCCAGTAATGCTCCACCTCCTGCACCAGCTCAGGCTCCTTCCCCATCAGTGAGGTGAACTTCCATGTCCCCAGAACTAGTCTACACCCGGGAGCGGTATGCCAGGATGCTCTGCTCCTGCCTACCATCCGGTGGGCATAGCACCCGACCCTGATTTCTTGCCGTGTGGGTGGTGGGCCCTCTGGGCAGTGGCCCCGTGTTGCTTCTTTGGGCTGTGCCCGACTGAGCCCCAAGGAGCCCCAAGGCTCAGCCACCAGACGCTCTCTGGCAAGCTCCCCCAGAGGCCTGGCTCCAGGAGGAGGTCCTGGTTTCCCTGGTCCGGGTGAGGTGCCGGCTTTGCTTGGTTGTGTTGTCATCTAGGGTCTTTGAATCGCTCTTTGTCTGATCCCTCCCCTAGAACCAGTTTGCCTTGGGAGATCGCTCCGAGGATCACAGGGACACTCAAACCCCTCCACCGCGATAAGGTGCCGATTCTTCGGGGGGGAAAGCAGATTCAAGAATAAAAGTGTGGGGGGGATTCACAAGCAGTGGACTGAGGCTGAATATAAATCTGATGAATGTACATTGTCTGCACTCTTATCTGAACCCTGTCTCCACCTACTATGTTCTCTTTTTTTGTCCTTTTTGGTACAGGATTTTTTCGCTGGGTGTATGAGAGGTTTCGTCTTCCCATAGCTCCTGTTTATGGTGGATTTCCTGTCAAATTTCGAACCTTTCTTGGTGATCCCATCCCATATGATCCCAATGTAAATGCTGCAGAGCTGGCAGAAAAAGTGAGTGAGTCAAAATCATTCCTTTGTTTATTTCTTTGCACCTTTCTTGCCTTCTCTTCTCCTCTGTTCTGTTTCTCTTGAAACTTATCTGCTCTTCCAAATACAACACGAAACAATAGTTGACATATCATCCTAGATTTAAATCAAGTCAGCTTTATTGTCAGTGTTGCCATGTGTACAACATACAGAGAACTGAAATTGCAAAACTCTGAGGCCCCACAGTGCAAAATGAACATAGAAAAAAAAGTATAAAAATAGCAGAAAAAGAGCAGAATGTAGGTAAAAACAGGATATAGACAACAAACACTGACCGCAATTCTGACTATATAAACAGTATCAACAATAAACAGACAACAATAAGCGGCTGTGCAGTACGAGTCAACGGGACAGAGAGGAGCTGCTACATCATCTCAGCCATTCAGAACTTTTTGCATTTTATGTTTGTCTCAGGAAAGTTCAAGTAATTCCTTTTAAGCTGGCGTCTGTAGCACTGTTGATGAAGGTAGATAAAACGCTGAGGAAAGAATTGCACTTTGGTTTAAAACTCAGTCTTCTGGACCGATAGCCAAACAGTGCTCAAGTGTATTGGACTTGTTCACCTTAAGCTAAGACCTCTGCAGCTAACAGAGTTTCACTGATTTTTGAGTACAAAGGTTTTTCTCAGTCTAAATATAGGATGCAAACAGCAAGAACAATCCAGCTTCTGATGCTTCAGCAGGGCTAGGTTCACTCAAATACATGCAGCGAAGGAGATGAACACATGCCTCTAAATTTCCATAGAAACCTGAGGAGGGTTGGTCATGGGGGGCTCTGCAAACTTCTCTTATTTTTTGGTTGAAGTCACTCATGGCTGTGACCATCGGCAGCAGGCCGATGCATTAAGCCGTCACTCCAGTAGCTGTCGTCCAGTAGCAGAGGAGGGAAAAGGCCGTGTGACGGCGTCAGATACGTATTTAAAGCACAGTTGTGAGAACGTCAAAGGACAGTTTTATATCCAACCACTGAAGACAAGAGCAAATAAAGACTAAATTAATTGGCTCACAGCAAAAGTGGGAGTGTCTGAGCTGCGTCCCGTGACAAAGTTTGCAGCTGCCAATCAGAGCCCGGGCCAAGGTCACATGATCACAAAATGTTTTTCAAGCTAAACACACTCATGTGGCCACGCCTCCGGGAAGTGTAGAATTAGTCAACACGCAGTGAAGACACATTTTAAATCTGTTAATACTACAAATATTGTTAATTTGGCAAAAGAATATGAACGTTATTATTAATTCTATTATTATTTTGTTATAATTAATTCAAGATGAGTTTTGCCTTTGAGAGCTATCTATCTGAGAGCTTTCTATCCGGTCAGTAGCAGTGGGGCGGCGCCCTGCGGCCCGTATGGACCGGTCGCCACTGATCCTAACCCTCGTCATTGTAAATACCAGCCGCCGCTTACACACACATGCTGTCGTGTGACGGTCCTCCATAGGAGCTCCTCTACATGCCAGCTGGACATTTTCTGCCAATTCTCCAGCTTCTGCTCCAGTTGAAAGAGGACAGTTGTTATGAAGCTCAGCAGTCACTGTTTTCTTCCTCTGCTGTGTAACCTGAGGCTAAGCGACATCTGTCCAGAGAGCGAGCTGAATGAGTACATGACGTCACCTGAAGTCCTGCCTGGATGAGAGGACTGACAGATGCATTTTCGTTATCAGTGTGACACCAAAGCAGTGTGGTGACGTGGAAATGCAAGGATTCGTGCAAACATCTGTGATGCTGTGGAACTGCGCTGTGTTTTCAAGTTTAAATTGTCATTTAGACAAAGTCTGCCATGTGCTTCTACAGTAAATGGTGATTTTTCTTTCCAAAAGAAGACTGACTCCTCCACCCACATGCTGTATTTGATTAAAAATAAATGAATTTAAAACAACACCACCATCACCCTGCTCACCATCACGTCCTGAGGCTGCTGGCTGATTAGGAGGTGGGTCTGTGGGGGTTAGACACTGTTCAGCAGGTGTACAGGTCATTTTGGTTGTGATGCAACTGAAGGGCTGTCCTGGACTTGAACAATAATTCAAGCTGTTCCATTCAACACCAGCTGCTGATGCTGCCAACCACGTTTTGTGCTCTGCAGGTGCAGCAGGCGATCCAGTCTCTGATTAACAAGCACCAGAAGATCCCAGGGAGTATCCTGAGAGCGTTGCTGGAGAGATTCCACACCAGACACAAAGATCATCTGCAGTAGCAGCGTAACAACAGAGAGGCGTTGTCCACTGGGCTCAGAAGGGCGTCGTACGCAAAGGTTTGGTCGTCGAACAAATGGAAATATTTGCACAGTTTTCTTCACTGCCCCCCAGACAGCTGACTGCAGCTGACATTCATTTTTTTGTATTTCATACTTCTAATGAGTACTTTGTGGGCTTTACAGTAGTCATGCCTCAAACAGAATGGAAGGCAACAACTTTACCTCCTCATGACAGCAGATGTAACTGGTCACTGAAATAGAAAACATTCGTTCTAAATTCTGATTATAGGTGCATTCACATCAGCGAGAGATTCATAACGTTAGTCATTCACTTTGTTGTCATGTTCATGTCGATGAAGAGCAGTGACTGCACAGACAGCTGCTGGTCATGTAACAGCACTCTGATGTTCACCAGTTTGACCCAACAGAGAGCCAGCAGCTGTCTCAGTGGGCTGAGCAGAACGGGCTGAAGCTCGTGGTTCTGGTTGACCACCGACAAAAACAACCTGTGGTTCCCTTTGACAGGTGGAACTGTTAGAACCAACAGAAGAGTCGCCAAACGGAGCACTTGGTCTGTTTCCTCCATATTGAGCAGTTCCACAGCTTCCAACCAGCCACTTTAACAGAACAGTCCAGGAACTGAATCCCTGAATAAAGCATGAAGTGGTGACGTGTGAAGTGCTTCTGCTTTGTCACGCCTTCAGTTTCAGGACGGAGCTGTGTCTATGATTTCTGTCTGTGTTACGTAGATATCGCATGCATCGTTACTGACCGAGTCACGGAAGTGTTGATTCATTTCCAGCCGTTTTGTGAAGCTGTAGTTTATTCTGTATTGTCTGATGAGGTGTGGCATTTCTGTTTTCTCTGATTGCACAAACACATCGGTTAATATCTCCCATATGACTAAGTTTAAAAATGAACCAAATGTGATGAACTGATTTTTACTGACATGGGACGTGTTGGAGGGTTTTTCTTGTCCAGCGTCACCACAGGGCTTCGTGATGACATGTCCAGGTGACTAAAGCGATACGTGGATCAGCATCAGCACACTGATTCTTACTTCTCATTATGATATCTTTTAATATTTGTATTTTGTGTCTTTGCTGTTGGGCTCAGAAGCGACAGAAAACATCCCATCAGCTGATTAAAACTAAACGAATCAGCAATCGCAGTAACTGTACAGATTTGTTTGATATATTTATGTGAGCGAGTGAGTCATATGAAGTTCGTCACCTGCTTACGATGTGCGCCTCACTACTTTTTGACATTTATCAGATTAAACAGTGAAGCAAACAACCAGCTGTCTTTTTTTTCCCACTTTGTCAAAAAGGAGACGAGTGGTTAGTTGTCAGCACTGAGCTTTGTTTACTGCACACCTGGACATGGGAGCTGAAGCTGCAGGTGCCTTAATGAGCAACAGATAAACTGGAGCTTCGCCATATTTAAGAAATTGGGGATATTTTTGCACACACACAGACACACACACACACACTTTATACCGATCCTTCATGTACCTGTTTCAGGCTATGAGACACATGGGATGGCGAAGATCCCTGACAAAGGACCAGCTCTGAAGTACAAGAAATATCAGACATTAAGCAAAATGGTAGAAAACAATAAAACAGATGAGAAATATAAATGTAAATCTGTAATTATAGCTAAAAGCTGCTAAAACGTTTTGTAGTAAATCTAGGGTATATAAAATTCAACGGCTTCCAAACTGGCAGAAAGAAAAAAGTAAAATAGTTTGAGTCATTGGGGTTTTGGCAGGACAGCCTAGAGCCTGGAGCAGATCTAAGGGCCTTGCTCAAGGACCCAACGGGGCAGCTTGGTGCTGACGGTGGCTTTAACTTTGGATTAGTAACCCAGAACATGTCGTCTTCTTATTCTGCTTCTGAAAACAAAGAAAGAAAGAAAAACCTGTTTGTTTAATCTTGATGATGTGTTGATGGTTAGGGTTTGGGTTAGTCACCTCCATAACATCGCTGCACAGCATGATGGGAGGTTACATCACTGAGGAGCCCTAACCCAGAATAATGGGCCAAAGACAGCTTTAGGAACTTACATACTTACATATTTGAGGTGTAGGAGGCTTTATGAGGACCAAATCCTGCCAAAATAGATGCTCTGGGAAGCACTGTGTTAGTGACGAGTCCGCACTAAGACGGGCGTTCATGTGTCTGAGGTCCAACAGGCTGGGAATAAAACCCAACCCTTCACGGATGTGTTCAGTGAGCGCTCATAAAACTACGTCCCCCTCACAAAATGCAAACATTATCGACATGATTTATATCAGTGCAAACACTGTCAGTGCATGTGTGTATTAATAATGGTGTTATGTGCTCATGTTTGTTTGATCCTCTGAAGTGCTTCTCTGCTGTTAGCTCATCAGTCATCGTGTACAGCTGACATGTTTCGGTTAAAGCTGTGTTACACTGATTCTGTATATTTGCATGTATGAGTTTTGTGAACTCTCAAAGTGTCACTGCCAACTCAGATGTTGAACCAAACCTTTGTAAAAACCAAACGTGTTTCTGAGTGATGTCTAACTGGATGCTGTACTCTGTGAACTGGTTGCCTTTTGCTTTGTCATTATTTAGAGATGATCTAACATGAATTATGAACGGATGTCAATATTATATGTTGCACTTTTAAACATTGAGACCTACTTGAACCAGTTTTTAGATGTATTTTATTAAAATGTTTGTGCATTCCTTTCTGGCGCTATGTTTTTGCCCCATCTCAGCTGAATGCGTTGCATCGCTCAAGTCCAAAGAACAACTTGGTGAATACGTTAGTATACTGGTCATAATGACGGAGTGTGTGCTTTACATCTTGTATGCAGGCTGTAAGATTTGGTGAAGGAGAGGGTCCTGGTCAACACGCTGTCATATAGTTTAGGTATCTGTAGAAGTACAGTCATGACTCGATAATCGACCCTTAACAATCCAGAACCTTGCTACCCGACAGGTTTTTAGGAAAAACCAGCAGAATCCATAAAAACAGCCTTAACATAGCGACAGCCTTGGATTCTGACTCCGACATGACATTTAATTTCACCAATCAGGATAACGGCGTATTATCTGACTGAACAATCCCACAGATTGGCTACATTCACACTGCAGGACTTGATGCTCAATGAGGATTTCTTTGTGAGTTCCTTCACATTTCCAGTTAAATGCGACTTGTATGTGATCTGCTGTGTGAACTTCATACGACCCAAAAGTGTCCCGCATGCGCAGAAGAGGACACGACGACGTCACACGCAGCGAGCGTGTTCAGTGTTTACGGAAGTAAACATGGAGGGTAACAGTGGAGCGTATCTGCCACTCCCCCGCCGCCACCGATGGTGGAAACAGAAGTGTGACCGCTAACTAAACTAGCATCATCTCTACACCTTAATCCTCACCAGGGTCATGGGGGATGGAGTCTATCCCAGCTGACTCAGGGTGAAGGCAGGTTCACCTGGACAGGTAACCGGGGCTACACTTAGAGACAGACAACCAAGCACACTCACATTCACACCTACGGACAATTTACAATCACCAATTAACCTCAGCATGTTTCTGGACTGTGGGAAGAAGCCGGAGAACCCGGAGAGAACCCACGCTGCACGGGGAGAACATGGAGACTCCACGCAGAGAGATCCCGGGTTTCCTCACCGGGACGCCAACCGGCGACCTTCTAGCTGCGAGGCCACGGTGCTAACCATCGAGACACCTGCAGCCCCCATGGCAGAGATAACTGTACCTTATATACTATAACACCACTTAGCTGACAGTAGGGACTGGGAGGGAGGGGTGTGTGGGAGACTCAAGGAATGAATGAAGGCCAAAGATCTAAGGAAGGGGGGTCCAGGTACAACACAGTATCCAGTGAAGCAGTGTGTGCGCTTTGGTTCCCTTAATCCCGTCTCCGTAGCTCGCCCTGGTCCCGGTTAGTTCCTGCTCCCCAACTCGGTAGGTTTTGTCTTTTTGGTGGTTGTGTTTGTTTAGTTCATGTTTCTAGTTTTGTGTCGCTGGCTAGCCTTCGTAGTTTTGTGTGTAATCCCTAACCCTACCCTGTTCCTGGTCTGCTATGTCTCTGTCTGCGCCTAAATGAAAGATGAAATGAAAAACATGAGACCAGAAAAATGACCACAGTGTACTTTATTAAATGAATTTGGGTAGTTTGTGTTGCATTAAATTCAAATAAAAATTTACAAAAATCCAATATATACAAAAATGTAATTTTAATCATTTTATCACTCTATTTTTACACGAAAATGTATAATGCGTGTTTAGCGCTTCAGACTTTCATCACACAATGCCACTTACTGAGAAGACCAATGTTTTTTGTCTTAAACATCTGTATCTTTTTAAATACACCACATACACCACATTTATCTTTTTTATTTGTAGTATATTGTCATAGTTACAGCCATCACGGTGGCATCGAACCTCTAAAGACACCCTTCACAGTCAGAACTCAAAAGAGAGGAATGTTCTTTTTTAACATATACACTTTGCATACATTTATTTACAGATAAGCGTTTGAGCTGACCAGATCAATATCTATGGTACTCCATATTCAACCAGTTCTCTAAACAGACATCTGTACAGAATGATTCTACTCGTGTGACTGAAGTCCTACCATTATTCACCTGCTGGCTACTGTGCTTGTACTAAGGCTGGACAGCCCGTCTGGAACTCGTGCTTCAGTCCAGATCCTGGCCTGTCTGTCTGGCATCCAGACTGCTGCAGCAGCAAAGCTTTGTTCATTACAGTTGGGAACCAGAACTGGGCCGAGCTCCAAGATGCTCTGAGGAAACACCTCCTGGTCATGTGTCAGGGAGGTGCAGCGGGTGTAGCTATGACTGTGCTGTACTGGCTTTCTTAGAATAAATGCAATGTCTGTCCTTGCTAGCTACTTACAGTTTTCTGCAGAGATACAGATGTACTTCAGAACCTTTTTAAATCAAACATATGACAGTTTTCTGATCTGTCTGAACTCTAGTGGGTTTTAGGTAACTGGCTTCGTGCTCATGGTAAAAGGAACCAGTGCTGACTGGTCGTGTTGTTTCACGGTGCATCCCGACACCACCTCCTCCCAACTGGCCAGTAGAAATGATCCCTCACTGGCTTCCCACCGTAAACCCATCCAGTTTTGCTGGATGTGGCACATTCTCAAATGTTTTTCTTCTTTCTTTACACCAGCAGCTTTTCATTACGGACAGTGAAACTAGTTGAGGTTGTAACTGTGCTGTTCTTGTTGTATGATAGTGTCCATGTATTCATTCCCCCCGGTGGTCATACATGGTTACTATCTCCCAAAAAGCAATTAAATGACCCCAAAAACAATCAAGATGTCAATTAACTGCTTGGTAATGATGGTCTTTCATACAATAGAAGCACAACAGGACAAGTTGTGCTTCTCTACATTGCTTGTTCATGTCTGTACAGTATCACTGTCCCCACAGAGAATCAGCAGTCAAGCATGCTGGACACAAAGCCTTCCTTCAGACTCCCAGTACTGAGGCCTCTACAGCGTCCCAGTTGGACCACAGTGCAGTCCTAGTATAAGCACAATGACCACTGTTGACACATGACTGAAGAGTGTAAAAACACACACACCATTTCACACATGCACACACATCAACCAAGTTCATCAGAAAATCCAGCAGTGCTTTCAGACAGACATTATCCTGGGTTGGGTGATGAGTTCCAAATAAAGACAAAAATAGAAATATATTTTCTTTAAGGCAAACAAAACACAGAAAGCAGCTTTTTAGAGCTATGACAAGAGTGAGGGAGGTTGGTCGATGTGTCACATCCTGCTTCTGACACACTTCCTGCAAGCAGCAGGATTCCCACAACAGGCCGGTGTTGGATAAGCACCTGTGGAACCTCAGTGGAAGGCCCCCTTGTATGACAGCACCTCATCCCGCTGTTTGTTTCGACAGTGAACTTAAACAATCATTGCTTTAGATATAGAAACAAGACAGACCAAACCTCCTGCTTCAATGGCTGTGTTTTATTAAACACTAAATTTGATTTGATTAAATATTAATCCAAGGCTGTAAAACTCTGCGTGGTCGTCCAGCCTGTGGTGTGCATAACGCATAACAATAAAAATAATAAATTCAGTGTTTTCTACAGGCTTTAAAATTGCTGCCAAAATGAAAAAGAATTCATATGTTGAGCCCATTCACTAAGATGGAAACTGCCTTTTCACAGACATTTGGAAAACTAGTACATAATTCAAATAAACTTTTTTTGCAATCTACGTTTGGCATCTTGTCTACAGCTCCAGTTCAACCATCACACTGACTGTGTATTCTTTGGAGGAGTCTTTGTTAATGACATTTTGAATTTAATTTCAGGAAATGTATTAATATTGTTATAGAAGAGATGGTGGTGCAAATGAGGGGGTGTTCTGTTCATGGAGCAAACTGAGGTAGCTTTATGCTCAGCACAGATTCGTGGACATCATGACGTGGGGATGCATCAACAGAGGCTACACTGGGTTGAGGAGACCCTGAAAATAAATGCACATAAAATGGTTTGACACTTTTTGAAAATAATATAAGGCTGCTTTTACACAGAGTCGGCTCCACATACATGGGGGTGGGGTAGGGCAGGTTGGGCTGGGGGTTAAATCCCCGAGCACCCGCCACGATTCTACCGATGGCGGATCAGCACCACACGGCCGTTCTGCGGCCACAGCGTGTGTGGATGGATGAGAAACACATCGTAAAGCATTTTGTCAAACCGAGCAAAGGTTCAAAAGAGGCAATATGAGTGCAGACCGCTGACATAACAATCTGTTTCCAATCCTCGGTTTTCTCGTCGTCCATTGTCCGGTTACAAACCAACGCTTCTGTGTTTTTCATAAAGACCTGAAATGTTTAAAAGTTGTTTTTTTTTCTCCCACAAATCCTCCTGAGTTTAGTGAACAACAGAGAATAAATCCCTGCTGGATCTATTCTGCTAAAGCATGGCCTGACCTGGACTCCTCCAGCTGTCCTCCTGTCATCAACACCACACGTTCAGTCAAAACTAGTTCATGAAGTGATGAATTCAGAGTGATCGTGTTTGTTTTTGTTTTTGGTGTGGACTTGGTCTGTTGAATCCCTACCAGGCAGAGAGCTCCTGAAGAGCTTTGTAAATCCAGACTTCTGTCGTGTGTGCCATTCTTTACCTTGAACAGTATCGTGTCATCCTGAAACTCATGCTTTTTCTATTAAAAAATTTTTTAAAAATCCAAACAAATAAAGACAGACCCTCTGCTGACCCACCAACAGCTCAGCTACAGCTTTGTGCTATGTTAGCACTAGCTAATGTAGCCCGCACCAGAGACGAACTGCAACAAGCTGCAGACGCCCTTCTTCAAAACCCATGAACCCACATTTAATCCTTCTTCAAGCTTTTAGTCATCAGTCACAACCCACACTGACTCCAGTGACATCCCCTCAGGACGTCTACCCAGCACGAGGCCGCTTCCACTGGAGCCACATCCACACGGGTACATCCTAGAAACACACCAACGGGGACGAACTGGTGCACCCTAACCCCATAAATACACCAAAAGATCAAATTTGCATAAAAGGCAAAGAAATAAAATAAAACTGCTTCACTTTACTGTTTAGAGCCGTCCTCTGGCAGCTCCTCAGGACAGGAACACTGCAGACACCACTGATGAGAGCACACACACACACACACACACTCACTAACACACACTCACACACACACAGCTGTGCAGCGACAAACAAGAGAAAGAAGCACGAAGTAAAAGAGGCTAAAGTTTAAAGTGACTTATGCTTTCACTCTACCATGAACCATATATGTATGTATTGTGTGTGTGTGTGTGTGTGTGTGTGTGTAATACAGCAGAACATAACTCAGGATTCATACACGGGGCTTGTTTGGTTGAGCAGGATGGAGAAGGTCTCTGGAACGTTGTGCTACAGGCTTGTAGACGTCAGAGGAGACAGAAGGTGACCTGGACCACACGCTGCTTTGACTCTGTAGTGGGGACGCAGGGGCTGAATGGGGGGATGCCATTGCCTCTGGTTGCTTGGGGGGAGGGGGGACTGACTGGACAGCACAGCTCTCCATTCTGTCTCCGTCTCCAACAGCCTCTACATCAGATGAGCAGGATGTTCAGGCTGTTGTCCAAGTTGTGATGGCTAGACAACTGGGTGGAGCATCTGCAAAGTGACAGGTGTAGACGTTGTCACCTGCTGGTGATCCTGTCTTAGGAATCAGTTTGGCATCATGCGGTTGCCTGGCTGCGTATGTGTCATCTAGCTGTGGGAAGAAGCCCGGCCAGCCGTGTACCTGCACACCGATCCTGTGCAGCGGCCCGTTTAAGCAGCACACTGCATCCTGCCACAGTGCAGGAATGTTCAGAAATGGTTTGAGGAAAAACACAAAGATTTTCACATGTTCACTTGGTGTCCAGATTCCCCAGATCTCAGTTTGGTAAAAAATCCTGGTGCTGTGCTAGAACTCACAGAACTTGAACTCCTGATACCACTGGACACCTCCACTGGTCTTGGTTCAGAGCTGTGTTGATGCCGTGTGGTTTTTCATATCGTGGCAGAACAGCTGATTGTCTCCTCTCGCCGCCGTCACTGGTGTCGACAGGTTGTGTGTATGAGACCTTCACAGTGCCTCCCCTGTGTTGTGTAGTGATGTTGTGTGGCTGCTTGTCGTGTTGTGTTACGATGTCAAAGGTGTCGCAGGTCAGATGGACGACAGGACCAGGACCAGGACCAGGACCAGTTCTTCTACAAGCTGATGTGTGTCAACATGAACCTTCACCGACTGGTCACAGCGAAGAACATATTCATGCATCCAACCACGTTTCCTCCCCGAGCTAACGCACACACACACACACACACACACACACACACACACACACACACACACACACTATATTGCCAATGCATACACATGTATCCACAAAAGATAGAATCACAATGACTTCAGGACCCTCTACTTCATGTCTAAAGTAAAAAATGCTGCATGAGATCAGAGTTCTGTACAAATCCTGGCGGTTGGTTGAGTTTGGCTGAGATGGCTGCTTGTCTGTCTTTTCTTTCTTCTTTTTCTTCGACTCAGTTCCATTTCCTGCATCACTCTCTCTCTGTCTCCACCTGTTCATTGTCTGGCAGTCTGCTCTCCTCCATGGACAAGCCGAGATCATTACCGCTCCACAGCCAGGTTCATGAGGCTGGACTTCACATTGCTGAGTTGAGCTGCCAGGAAGATTTTTTTCTTGGCATTTTATGAGTTTGACCTTTTTCCTTATGGGAGAAAGACTGTGAGCTTGTGTCTATTCAACTTCCACCCCATTTTTCTTGCTCCCTTTTATTCCACCTGCCAGGTTTGGTTGATTTAATCCTGACAGAATGAGTATAGATGCTACTTTAGCCTCTGTCTTCTCGTAGTTCACTTTCTGCCTGACCTACTTTCAGTGCAGATAGGAATTATCCAGGGAGAATGAATGGTCTCTGCAGGAGAAGAACTTTTGGGACCTTTCATCTCTACATTGTTCATCAGAACCCAAAGGGAAGTTTCCAAGGAACCTTTTTGGCACAAAGAGAGTGGGAGTGATGGGTGCTATCATGTAGGTATCAGTGGAAGTCATGGAAGCAGCCACCCAGCGGTGGCTGGGATGGGACCACGTCATCAGTACTTCCAAACAGTAGGACACTAACACACTAAGACAGATACAACAGTTTCAGGTTTCTACCGTTAGTGACTAAGGAATCATTTCCTGTCCACATCACATTGGAGCAATTTATGTATATTTCAGGTGTCATTTAGGTGAAAGTAAAATATCTAATGATGGACATCTTATTTTATCCTTTACTTTTCCAACTGTGTTTGGTTTGAGCAGAATCCCAAAGCACTGGGTTATTCTGCATTTAGTCCATACCAGGCAGGGTTTCCCTGACAGGATGTTCTTGTCTAGTAGCAAAAACACAACAGACAATCCAAACACATCTGTGACAGACACTGAACTGGCACCAAATCGCTCCTCCAGTCACCATGGACAGTCCTGAATGCTCCTGGTGGACACGACTGTTGGTCATAGAACACAAAGAGGGAAACGTGAGATGAGGAGTGACATTGTTGCTAGTAATAAATTCTTATTGCCATAGTCCCTGTTGTTGTTTATGTGATATCAGGATAACCCTCTGACACTGCATCCCTGTGTGGGTCCTGAGAGCAGGGCAGACCTATAACGTGGTCTCATATTCCAACCGTTCTTGCACCAGAGCGTCATCTTTGTACTGCAGCCGTGGAGGAGTCAGGGAGCAGTCTATGGCCAGGATAGCTTTGCGTATACTGCGGTCAAGGACGTGACGCTCCCAGGCAGGGTAGCGGTTCCTACAAAGGTCAATCTTAATGACGGTCTCTTCAAGGCGTGGAGCACGAGAGGATGGTGTAGATGGCACTGTGGGTCGGACCTGAAACACCGGCATGCAGCCATCCCGCTCAGAATACTTTCCCATGTCACGCTCCAGGGTTGTGACGGCACCTCGGTTGGAGCGCAGTGAGTTGGTGGCCCCTTCAGACGGTAGCGTAGAGAACTGAGCGGTGGGATCTAGGTCCAGGCCCTGGCCGCTTGGTGAACGTCCAAAGCGGGGTCCATTGGGATGGAAAAAGGCATAGTACATGAGCATGAACACCACCCCAGTAAGGAAACTGCTGTAGATGACACAGAGGGCCGGCACCGCAAAGGCGTCAGTGGTGTGAGGTAACCGGTAGAGATACCACAACGCACTGAGAGCAGCGTTCTCCACCAGGATCACCAGGTAGTAGATGAAAAGCCGACACCTGCAAGAAGACATGAAACACGACAGAAAGAGAAAACATAACTTGACGTGTTCTACAGCATTATCCAGCAATGGCTGGAAGTGCTTCTATTGTCTTGTGACAGTGAACTGTTGGGATTAGTACAGGACAGGACAGCAGGCAAACACCTGGTGACCTCACACATATAAGACTATATATAGACCCCTGTGTTTTGTGTTCCTATGAATGAGGCTACATCTCTAGTTTGGCATGTCAAACAGCAAAAGACTGGAAACACGGCTTGCCAGTTCTACTGATGACCTCAAATGTTGGTGAAATGTCGACCCAGGTGCTGTTTCCATAGAGGTGCAATACTTGATATTGCCGTAAAAAAAATAAAAAAATAAAAAATGCTCACAGTGAATAAAAATGTGATGAGAGCAAAACAAAAAACAAAAAAAAACAACAACCCCAGAAACTGCTTATGGTTTAGAGGGTGAACTTCTGAATGATTCTAAAGTCAAGCCACTGAAGAGAAACCACTTATCTTTACCTTGTTCGTCCCTCCTTGACGTTGAACCAGGAAAAGATGTAGATGATGCCCACCACCATGTCAAACACAATCTCCTCCCACTTGCTGATGCAGAAGTCTGTCTCACAGTGGACAATCCAGAAGGTCATGATGCACCAGTGCAGAACAATAAAGATGCCAAAGTAGAGTTGGAACACAGAGGCAAACAGTGCAAAAGTGATGACTCTGGCTGCTATGGTGAAGAAGTGCCAGCAGAACTGAATGATGACAGCCAGGTAGCTGATGGGCTTCTTGTCATCCCGAGATTCTCGCAGGGCCTTCTGGTAGGAGGCCAGAGCCCAGGCCAGAGAGACGAGAGAGGCTGCTGCTGTCATACCTGCAGCAGACACACACCATAGGTTTGGTTCAAGGAAAGACAAACACTCACACTTGGTCACAATCACATGCTTTAGTTTAAGGACATCTGTCAACAGGACGCTATGTCACTGGTTTCCCATCAGCTGCTTAGCTTGAGAACGACTAGCTGCAGGTCAGAGATTCAGCTGCAGTAGCATCATGGAAGGGATCGCCCTGTCAGCCAGACAGAAACAGCTCGGACATTTCAAGCTCTTCTTCATTCCAGCTGCTCCAGAGGGTAGGCCTGCTCACTCTTTCATGTTATGAGTAACACCTGCACTTTTCCTGCTGTTGCTATCCAGTGAAAGATGGCTTTGGATTGATCTGCACAGTTGACCACACGTTCAGCAGACTGAGAGAGCTGCTGCTTGCAACAATAGCAACAGGCTGCTGTGTATGAGATTGTTGTCTCACTGGAAAAAATATGTGATAACTACACACACACAGCTCTAATAAATATAATCATTTTTATCAGAATAGAAAAAACGACTGAGTTGCTTTGGTGCTTCACTGGTTTGATTTAGCAAAGTGTCAGAAAAGACAGAAAATGGTGAAGACCAAACTGTAAACTGTCTGGTATCAGGCTGATCACAGCATGGCAGCGGTCGGGTTTCTCTGGTACCTTGCACAGCCTGGAGCTTGTGTGTCTGGATGATGATGCACAGCTGCAGCACCAGCTGTGGAGCGCTCTCCAGAAAGGTGGCCAGTAGATGTAACATGCTCACATCTGCAAACTGATAGACCATTCTCCAGTAGTAGCGCCAACGCTCCGTCTCAGCACTCTGACGACTCCGGACCCCCAGGTAGATGGTATGGAAGTATCTGGAGACAACAAACAATGAATAACACGTGATGACTCCAAGTGGAACTTTTCAAACGTTACAGCACATCAAAGAGAAAGACAGAACACTCCGAAGTTCTCTGTTGGAAATACCTGAGACAAGCAGCGGTAACATCTAAGAGCTGACTTCACTGCCAGAGGTCGCTGCTATTTTTATCTTGCAACAAAGTAGATCTTGGAGGTCTTTGAATTTTGAGGGGAAAGTTGGAAAATGATAATTATGTGTAACAGCAGAAGCATCAATATGGTACAATTAAACATGCCAATAAGCTATTCTGCTGGCACAACGGGGCACATGCTGGGGGCTGTGAGAAGATTAAAAATTAGTGGGAATATGTCCAAAGCGGCGTACATCTGAGAGCAGATACAACACAAGCAGGGATCTATTCGGGAGAAAACAACCTGGATAAGGGCTATAGAACAAGTTCAGGTGTGACAGGGCGTTGATGCCAGTAGCAGGCGGTGTGGGAATATGCATCATGTGTGTCACCTCCATGGCATACCAATGGACACGTGGTCAGACAAGGGTCCCAATTTATATCAGGAGTTTGGAAAGTTTTCTGCCAAACCTTCGGTGCTACTGTTAGTTTGAGAACCTGTGGAAATCATTCCTCCAGTAAACCATAGTGGTGGCCATGCGATGGGGCTGGTTCTTAGCTGCCGGGGACAGGGAGACTTTTCAGTGTTGAAGGTCCTGGTTCACCCGTCAGCACGGTGGTGAACCACAGCAAACCGCCAAGACAACGTTACAGCGGCTTCACACCAAGTCCCTGACTGTCTTTGAGTGTCCCAGCTAAACTCCACAGAGGCTATTTGGAGAGACCTAAAGATTGCAGTTCACAGATACTTCTTATGTGATGAAGGCTGACATGATCTGCCACCATGAAAGAGATGAACTGCCCAAATCTTGGTGTACAAAGCTTGTCAAACATGACCTAAAACCTCAGCTGAGGATTCCAGTGGTGGTGAATAGATGGTGCAGTCCAGGATATGTTCCTGTAGCCCAGACATTGAATTCCATATTATCTGCTGAGAGACATCAAGTTCATGATTTTTTGTTGCTGTTTACGTCCAACATTTGATGCTGATTTCTAGAGATTTCTACCACACTTCCCTCTTAGCTACACTTTCAGCATTCTGCCACTGCTCCACCAGAGACAACAAAACACTGGACATCCATCCACTATCTATAAACTGCTTAATCCTCACCAGGGTCATGGGGGGCGGAGCCTATCCCAGCTGACTCAGGGTGAAGGCAGGTTCACCTGGACAGGTAACCAGTCTATCACAGGGCTACACTTAGAGACAGACAACCAAGCACACTCACATTCACACCTACGGACAATTTACAATCACCAATTAATCTCAGCATGTTTCTGGACTGTGGGAGGAAGCCGGAGAACCCACGCTGCATGGAGACTCCACACAGAAAGATCCCGGGTGTCCTCACCGGGACGCCAACCGGCAACCTTCTAGCTGTGAGGCCACGGTGCTAACCATCAAGACACCTGCTGCTAACCATCAAGACACCTGCAGCCCCCCTGACCAACCATCACATCTTACTTATAAAAGTTCTGAACAATGACTGAACAACAACACTGCTGGTCTCTGAGTATCCATCTGCCACACTGTCACTTTGCAAAATAACGAGGAGTCAGGTCCAGCCAGCTGATCGGTAGTTACATCTATACTGTAGCACAGCATCCAAACGCCTCATCTTAAATAAAATAAAAGCCTCCAAAGTGCTCTCACCTGCTTGTTTTCAGCTGGCAGAACTGCTTTAGTGGAAACACCTCCTTAAATCCCTGATCCTGTGTTTTCCACTTTTGGATGTTTTGTGTAATAAATGCTCAGTCGTGTGTTGTGATTGGCTGTGTGCATGAGCTGAAAACAAAGCTCATATTTGGCACACAAATATTACTGCTTTGAGGCGTCGGTTTTATTTTCTGAGGAGTCGGGAGGTTTGTGAATATAGCGGAAAACTGGGTTTAGTGTTTAAAGTTTTGACCATAAAGGGAGGGATTCAAGAAAAGCCATCAGCTGTGAAAAATCGTAAAGCTTGTAAATTTCCAGTGGAGAGCCGGTCCTTGTTCTGTTTTTTTGTTTGTTTTTTTTAACCTTAACCACATATTTTTCAAGATAGTGCAAGTTTAAAGCCCAGTTCTCATGATGAATGTGTTTACCAGCTGCTTATTAACACACATTTGTTCATGTGGACTGGTGTTGATGTCGACACACTGAAGTTCATACTGGCTCTAGTGACAGTTCTCACAGTCGGTCTCCACCAAAATATCAGTCTGTTCACCTGTAAAATGTTCCACCCTGGCCTCGTCCGGATATGGGACATGGAACGGCTCATCAGTCCATCTGGGTGGCAGCATTCTGTCATCCAAGCCCCTTTCAGGCAGAGATCACGATTCTGTTCATGTTCCTCATGGCTACTTCAGAAAAACCCACCACAGTGCCGGACAGCATGCCGGATGTGTCATTTGCACGAGACGAGTCAGTACACCTGGTGATGTGTAGATAATAAGACTACACTCATAGCAGCTGATCAAAGTATCCAAATAAATCACAGCCCAGTTTATTTCAGATTTCTTAAACAACTAGAGAAGCCCTCTGAGAGCTCAGACCTCCTCCCAGCAGCTCGTCTCCACCATGTTGTCATTTTTAAGCTATTAGCTAACACTATGCTATGTTAGCACAACTACAGTGATGCTGTTGCTAACATAAACAGACAGGGAGGAGCTGAAGCTAGGTTAGCACAACCTTAGCAATGCAATGTGAATGAAAAGCGTGACCGACCAACGAAGCGCGCGTCAGTCGACCTGACACGTGGAAGACAGTTAACCTGTTCAGCCCTGAGCTATTGTCAGGCCTCTGCTCAAAATGACATCCCATAATAACACAGTTTATCTCTGCCACCACAAGGTCTGTTTGAATCATTCTGGTGTCATAATCAAAGGAACACTTGTAGATGTGTTCAGACGTGTAAATATCAGTTTATATGTTCCTGGTTCAGAGTGAATGAAGATGGCACACAGCACAGAGGAGACATGTTCAGGTTCTCCTAAAAAAAAGCCCTGTCAGGATGATGATGTGTTTGCAATGATCCAGCTGCAGCTCTGAACCTCTCCAAGATCAGAGACAACATGTGAACATTGTGACTCTGATGAAGTGAAGCAGAACATCACAGAGTGTTTAGTCCAGACGGTTCAGGCGAGCTCACATTCTGGTTCACTGGTGACCATCTGAATGTTCTCATGTACAAACTATATATTCCACTTGTATATCACTGATGGTGTTCAATACATTCCACATACAGTAGTTGGTGTGTGAGGTGTGTTTGGGGTGTGTAGGCATGGCTGATAGTTCTGGTAGCCCAGGTTCTGCTGTCTAATGAGATGTGCAGCATCACTGTAGTCTGTCATGATGAGTGCTTTGTTTCACACTAGTTCTTTGTGTGAAGAGGTTTTAAAGGGCAGTTCATGCTGAAAAACCATCTAGCGTGGCCAGACTAGAACTGTTCTGCAGAAAGACGTGGGCCACAGCTCCTCTACGGGCACGTAGAAGACGGATCTCAAGCTATGGCAAAGTTTAACTGCAGCTGTTGCTGCCGAGGGCGGACCAATAGTTGTGTGGTTTAGGGGCGATGTTTTTATAGTTAAAGAGATGAACTAGGTTTTCAGTAAATCTTTTATAAAACCTCATTGTATGTTTCGAGGGTTATCTCTGTCTAATATTAATAAATATAAATATTACTGTGATGATCTGGAACATTTCAGTGTGAGAAATATGCAAAAACAGAAGACATCAGATCGGACGAGACTGTTCACAGCATCGTATGTTCACCGGCTGGAGCAGAACCAGCGGCGGCCGAACGGTGAAGCCGCCAAACCAAACAAATCAAAAGGCCTTTACAAAGAATAAACCAACAAACGGAATTAAATTGTGCTGCTACTTGAGTTTATTGATCAAACACATTAAGAAAACTCCTGCTAACATGGTGATGTGTGGCATAAAGGTACATGGAGGCTACATCATCACAGCCTCCAAGGATCAGCTGTCAGGACCTCCGCCTCCAGGTCTCCCCCTCCTTCCCCTGTGTGTGTGTGTGTGTGTGTGTGCGTGTGTGCACGTCGCTGCCATTGGATAATCAGCTGAGTGACGACACCTGCATCAGGGAGTGGCTCACCTGTTCCTAATCAGCACCTCCTGCCATAAAAGACAGGCTCGGCTTGGCTCGGCTCGGCTCGGCTCAGCGTTTGACTCCAGACTGTCGAATTACCAACAAGTCAGGCTCAGTGAGGCCACGTTTACACGTAGCCGGTGTTCACAAGGACTGATCTACATTTTCCAAAATAGCATTGTTCACACCAGATCGTTTTCAAAAAAACCTTCATCAACACAAACCCGCATAAACCCGTTGGTAAGAGCTGTTATGAGACCTACAGTAGGCAGTGTAACCAGAAACATACAGCCATGCTAGCCAATCAGAATCCTAAAGAAAAAAACAACAAACTGCTTCCTGTAAACTTCAATGATAGCGGGCCGAGGGTGGTTTGTTTGGACCGACAGAGAAGTGGAGCTGCTCCTACATGTGGTGTCAGAGACACAACAAGGAAACAGCATCCATCTACCACAGCAGCCAGACTGTAAACATGGTCGCACACATGTGACGCTTTCGTCGCTCACTGTGACGTCAGACTCCGCCTCCTCCTGCCTACATGCAGACGTAGAGAAAGAGTTTTTCCATCTGATGGTTTAAGTGACTCGTAGCTTCGTCTACGCGTAAACCAAAGGCCCACTGGCATATCAGCGTTTCTGCTACGTTAAAGGTTTGTTCCGGTGCTTTTTGTGCCTACCCTTTGTCTAGTTCTCTGTGTCAGTCCCTGCCAGGACCTCCTGCCTTCTACTGAAGCCACCTCACACTCCCTTCCTGGCTCTGGTTCATCCCTGAGCTCCCTCCATAGGTCCAGACCTGGCACCCCCCTGCAGGAGAATTCCTTGCTGCCTCCCTGTACACCTCCTCCACCTGCCTTCCTTTGACCACTCTCCGTATTCAGGGTGTCAGCTAAGTAGCGTAGCTCTGTTAGCAGACTGTTTCCTGTACTCTACCCTCCTTGGATTGTCTGTTTAATTGTGCATTCCCTGGTTTCTTAGTAGTGTTTGGTTTGCACTCCAGAATAGAGTTCTGCACAGTCTGTCTTGCATTCCTGAGCTCAATCTGTTTCTTGCACCGCATGCACATTACTCTGACTCCTGTAGCTCATCCCAGTCCTGATAAACGGTCCTCGTCTTGTAGTGCTGGTTCTGGTTTGGCTCAATGTCTGCTGTTTTTAAATGTTCTGTGGAAATGATTCCACAGAGAAGAGCAACCAGTTTCAAAACACTTAATCTTATTTTAAAATGTTGTCTGTTTAATTGTTTAAGTGCTATTCGTTCTAATTACACAGTAAGGTAGCTTAACTCTGCAGTTTACCAGCTTCATCTTGTCCAGGTCCTGGGGGAAGGGCTAGAGTCTCCTACAGCTGAAAACACACAGAAAGGACCAGATCCCAAGTTTCCACTGTGGGACCTTGTATATGTGAGGAGACAGAGCTCAGCACTGCAGCTCATCAAACATCAACAGACCGTCTTACTCAAAAGGAACAAACGCACTTACAAATATTATACTGCAACCTCTTTCTGAAACTGAAAAATAAATCCATCACACTTTTCTGCCCCACAAAACAAAGGTTTCAGAGACATTCTAAATACCAGATGTAAAATCTGAAATCTCCACCTGCCTACTTCTGACCAGAGCCACAGGTAGCAGGATAAGAAGAGCAGTTCCCGTACAATGTCCACAGGGCTGCACTGTGAAGGCAGTCTGACAGCCTCAGCAAAAACTAAAGCCCCAGCAGAGATCACAGGTATCACGAAACAGGTTCAACTTTATCAGCTCAGACTTCCTGCTGCAGACTCTGTTCACATTAAAGGAGGCGCTGAAGACGTCACGTGACTCTTCTTCTGCTCTAAAGTAGACGACGGTGAGCAGCTGCTTCAGTCAGCACGTTGTTTGAATGGAGAACAATGAGGAACATCAACGTTATGACGGGAAAAAGCGCAGATACTGCACACGGTGAAGACAGGAATGCTGGTAGGAACTGTTCAACGTGTTCATGTGTTTATTGAACTAAACACTGAAGCTGATTATTTCTGACAGCTGCAGGTTAAAGCTAAACTTTAACCTTCATACATTTAAACCTGATCTGGTGCTGAAGCTCATTCAGGTCTGACTCTGTCCCAGAATGCAGGAAA